GAGAGAATTTTAAAATCTCATGTTTCCTTCTTTTATAAGCCTAGTACACTAACCTGCTTGTGTAATGAACTAATTTTGGTCTACCCCAACCCGACCAGCTGTGGGACTACTAAAGCCCCTTTGGATTTGCTGTGAGCTTTCGTAATGTCTTTCACTTACCTATAAATTATACCGTGTTTATATACACAAGTATTTCTTTGTTGCGGACAAAGAAAGGCAATTGTTCTATACGAGCAGTTACAATAGTTTCCCCTCGTAAAATGGTTCCTTCTTGTAAATCATTCTTGTAGAATTGGCTGTTACCATGACAGTCTAGGCCCTTGCCAGCTAAACATGGTGTGCTTTTTTTTATCTACTCATGGTGTAATTTTCATTTATGTGCTGGTCTTTATTTATGAGCTTTCACTTACAGCATTGCTGATACGTACAAAATCATGTTGGATGAACTAAGCTACATGACTATCTCAGTCTTTTAGAAGTCCTGCAAAATGATTGTCTCTCTTTTCAACCAGTATATCCACGTCCATACTGCTTTTTGTAGCCGTAGCCACCGTATCCATAGCCACCGCCTTTACCACCATATCCATAGCCACCACCATAACCCACCGGCTTTGTTTCCGTATCCACCATAGCCACCATACTTGTTTCCATAACCACCGTATCTGTTACCATTGCGGTTGTCAGTGCTGCTCCTACTGTTGCTCCCACTCCTGCTCCCACTCCTGCTCCCGCTCCTGCTCCCGCTCTTGCTCCCGCTTCTGCTCCCGCTCTTGCTCTCGTAGCCCCCATATCCATAACGGCCACGATTCTTTCTTCCATTGCTGTTGTCACCGCTCCTAGAGCCTCCTCCCCTCCCGCCACTGCTGTCACTGCTCCTAGAGCCTCCTCCCCTCCCGCCACTGCTGTCACTGCTCCTAGAGCCTCCTCCCCTCCCGCCACTGCTGTCACCACTCCTAGAGCCTCCTCTCTTCTGGCCACCATAGCGGTAGTATCCCTTGTTGCTCCTCACAAACCTGAGGTCATCCTCCTCATCATCATCTTCTTCGTTGTATTCGGCCGTTCGCTTATCCAGCTCATCGGCAGAATCAATTTCCTCAAGTAGGACAAGATCATCCACTTCTTCAGCTACTGGTTTACCCTGAGACACCTGGCAATGGGGACAGAGAGGAATGCATTAAACGAGTAGAGATCATACCAATCTGACCAACTATCTCTCAATAACTATATACTAGTCTGACCGGAAATGAGCAAACTTTCTCAAATGCTGACAATTGAGCATTATACGGCACTGATTGAGTGTTTTCTCAAGTTGTGTTAGAGACTGTTTCGGTCAGAAAAGCGAAAGTGGTTGGAAGATTATTTCAATGGCTTGTTGCTAGACTCACCAAAAATAGAGCCGAGATAGAGAAGAGCAGCACCAAAAAGGTGACCTTCATTTTTAGAGAGTCCTGCCCGACTACCTGAAGTTGTTTAAGTCCTGCTGATGATCAGACTACGACCTTTGCTTTCTGCTGCAGTCGTGATGATCTGCAGTGTTCACTCTGTTTTATAGTCACCTGTCTTAGCAAACAATGGGCCTTTCAGTTGCAAAATTAAATTGCCGTGAGCATTGGGTATGTCTATAACCATTCAGGGAAATTCTAGTGCCTCTGTCCTGTTATGGGCACTCGCTAAGTATGCTAGGTCCTCAGGCCTTTCATCATGCTTTTGTCTACTAGTGGCATAAGATTTTCACTTGTGTGTGTGTGTGTGTAGTCTGTTAAACATGGAGGTCTCTTGTGCTTCTATCCTGTTATGGGGAGACAAATCTAATCCCCGAGCCCGCATTCAGTGTATGCGAACTTGTAATACATTCAGCTTGTTTTTGTCTATGCAAGAGGCTTCTCAAGTCTTGTTATAGCAAAAACATGTTGTTTGTTGGTGTGCTAGACATATAGCACACCAGCCAGCACTCTGTGCTTCTCTCCCACACACACAGAATCACATGACTCTTTTAATTGGTGCACCCATTCAGCTTGTTTTTGTCTATGCAAGAGGCAGCCGGCTTCTCAGTCTTGTTATAGCAAAAACATGTTGTTTGTTGGTGTGCTAGACATATAGTACACCAGCCAGCACTCTGTGCTTCTCTCCCACACACACAGAATCACATGACTCTTTTAATTGGTGCACCCATTCAGCTTGTTTTTGTCTATGCAAGAGGCAGCCCGGCTTCTCAAGTCTTGTTATAGCAAAAACATGTTGTTTGTTGGTGTGCTAGACATATAGTACACCAGCCAGCACTCTGTGCTTCTCTCCCACACACACAGAATCACATGACTCTTTTAATTGGTGCACCCATTCAGCTTGTTTTTGTCTATGCAAGAGGCAGCCCCGGCTTCTCAGTCTTGTTATAGCAAAAACATGTTGTTTGTTGGTGTGCTAGACATATAGCACACCAGCCAGCACTCTGTGCTTCTCTCCCAATAAATGGAGACACACAGAATCACATGACTCTTTTAATTGGTGCACCCATTCATATGGAACTTGAACAAGCAAACATGTTTTGCTGGGTCATGTGGGTGGAGAGAGGACCACTCCTCCAAACATCTGCAAGAATGTGTAGCCCTCAGTCATCCCAGAGACCCTAATTATGATGCTCCATAAAAAACCATGCAAATCTCTGTAATGTGAGCCAACAGTGCTAAAGAAGGTCAACTGAAACAGTGGTGGACACTGTGCCTATCACGATTTACTAGTTTTCACTTTGTCTAGCCAGCAATGTGGGAGAATAACTTTCTTTAGATCAAAGATGTCAATGCAGAACCTAGTATATACCCTGCCCAAGTACACATTGAATTGAAGTTCTTGTTACAGACTTGAGTCTCTATCATGATCTGAACAATAAAAATTGACAGCAACCAGCTTCTGCATTGAAAAATTTTAAAAAATGACAGCTACGTATGTACATCTGCTTTGAAAATGATGCTGTTATTGACCGGCTAGCGAAGAAACCCCTCCTTCAATCCCAGCAGAAGGGTCCAGTGTACCTATTGTGTCAAATTTAAAAAATGGCGTAGTCCAGAGAACCAGCTTCAACAAGAGCACTCCATATGCTCTCGTACTCTGTCAGTATCTCCTTTGCCGGCGGTCTCAGACTATAGTCGGAGCTCTTACACCTGTGGTGGATCCCTGCCAGGTAGTTGAGAATGTTTCTGGCATCTCTGGAGTTACCCAGAAACCATTTCGTTACGTCTGGGACCTTCCAAAGGTCGCTGGTGTGAAAATACCCAGGCTGTTCGTCAGGGTTGAACATTCTGTACTGACTGAACGGCCAGGCCTGTTCCGGAGCCACAAAATCCCCTCTCAGCTCTCTGCGACTGCACACCACAGGGTCGTGACCTCTGGGTAAGTTGTCAAAGTTGGCCAAGAGGAGCTCAAAGTGTTGCGAGATGGCAAACTGCGAGAGCAAAGTATCCAGAGAGTCACTGCTACAGAGTACAAAGGGCCCCAATGGGTGGAGGTGGAGATAGTTCAACAGACGGACGTAGTCCATTGCTAGCTTGAACCTCACCATCCAATTGTTGCAGTCGTTTCTCTTTAGCAGTGTCTCTAGCTGGGTCAGTGGGTATACGTCTTCTGTCACACTGTAAATTAGAGTGTTTGTATGCGGACATGAGCCCACGGGGTACAGTATGTTCTGATGGGGTGCGAGTTGAGTTGCTGTCTTCCAAGCCGACTCGGTGTAACTTTCAGAATTGTCTGATTCATATTCATCATTCTGGATTCTCTGAGAGTAAACGACACGGAAACTGTTCCACTCGGCAGCAACGTACCTCCACCTTTCGGTCTGCCAGAGGAGCCGTGTCGGTCGAACGTCTGTCATAAGATCTTCACACGTCAGGAATTTGACACAGGAGGTCCACCGAGGCAGACTGAACATTCCGTGTGGACACTCTGAGCACTTGCCACGGAGGGACACGAAGCCAAGTGGACATGTCTTGTGTTCGATCCTCTCCGGGGACTCTGTTGTTCTGAGACAGTGATCGTTGTAGCCCTGCAGTTGTCTCTGATAGAGGAGGAGCTTGTCGTAGACTTCTTTCTCTTGACCGATCCAGCCGACCACCAGCAGGAGCGTGAAGAGGCAGATAGTCAGAGTCAATACGGCTGTCAGTGTCCTCATGGTTGTCCAGTTCTTAGAATCCACCTAAAATGCAATAAAATTGTTCAGAGATACATTGGAATGTACCCACTCACCCATGTAAAGAGTGGGTGCATGCATCTACCACATGTCTCTGTGCACATGTTTCTTATTACATGTGCCAGTTGTTTACTGCTTTCACATGTCTCATTGTGACATACACCCTGCCAGCTTCAAGTGCCCAGTCCTTGGCCAGCATCCACAGAAAGCTCATTTATGTGTGCAGAAAGTATTTTCACACGCCTGCTTTTTGTTAAGCCCAAAAGAACAGCAAACTAGGGTGGCTGCTTTGTTCTAACCACAGCTGTACAAGTGTGAAGGGTGTGGCCATTGCTTTATGCACAGCTGTAATTATACCTTGTTCTGCATTAAAGTGTACTGACTATTATACTTTAGCTATTCCCTCTTCGGTTATCCCTCTACCAATGGAATTATCTTTCTTGCAACAGAACCTTGAACTAGAGTAAATCTGGTTTCCATCTTTTCCCTCTGGGTTGTAATACATAGCTGGCCAACATACAGGAGGCAACTCTGTTGCTTCATCAAATGTTGCAGCAACTTGCAATCGAGTTTTCAAACGACGGGCCCAGGCAAACGAGTACCAGAAATAGGTCACTTGTCTATTTATGGCAACTCTGTCATGCCTGGGTCCATCATACCAATACTCTTGGAAGTTGCTGCAACATACACTAGGATGTGGTACCCTTAAAAAACTGGTCATGGTTTTTAAAATGCTTGAGTGTATAAATAATTATGTTTATACACTCAGGAGTAGGTTTGAATTCCTTGAATTTCAACTCGATTGGCCACCCAGAGGTAGTATAGACATGTGATATTATAACGAACTCTGTACCTTAGGGACATGAAAAATCATTGTCAATATTATATATGAATGTCCTTAGGTATGTGTATAGTGGTTATAGCTATACACATCATGTCTAGACATCCTATACTTCCAGCTCCCACTAGGTGAGAGTGCACTAGGTTGATATTCTATACAGACTTCCCCCGTACATACAAACATGATCACTGCTCACTCTCACTCAACTATTTTTAGTTAGTCTCACTGGGACTCTGTTTAAATGTGGAGCAGTCACTACAATATGCAAGGATCTGTAGTACTAAAAGTCCTAGCTAATTGCATCAAAACTCATCCGGGACCACCCACTAACGCGTCCTATGCGGGGTCTGCGAACACGACGACCCACCCCTAAGTACACGGACACTGTATTGTACTACTTCGCAAAAATGTCAATAATGCACCAGAGTGTCTGTATATACAGTGTACACTAGCTAGCTATAGTAAGAGAGTGTCTGTACAGTGTATATACACTAGCTAGCTATGAGTAAGAGAGCGTCTGCAGCTAGCTAGCTGGCTTCTTGCAACTGCAGCACAAGCCCCACCCACCTTTTTGTCAGGAGCTGACGGCAGGTCTACCAGCAGAGCTCTAGACCCGACAGAGTATATACCATGCTCTGCCGCGTGGAGGGGCGGTTATCTCACAGATCGTAGACTAAATCACGGCGGGACAGCACCACACACGCACACGCGCCAGAATGTTTGTGGTGCGCCGCGGGTCTTGCGAAAAATACAGCACATGCGCAGAAATTGGCAAACTGTCGGTGCGCATCAAATCGAGTTACCCGCGCGTGGACTCTTGGGAGTTGAATTCAGGTTCTCTCCAAGCGCATCGCCATGAAACTGTAAGTCACTACACCAATAATATGCATTTTGAGTGGGCCTTTTAATAACGTAAACAATAACACGGTGGTTCGAAGGCTAGTGGCGGGAGACGTCGACGGAAACTTCAGGCAGCTCTTCAGCAGAGCTGAGAGCATTTTGAAGAAGTCTGGGCCTTTTGAGGTAAGGTATAATATAATCTCTCTCATGCATGCTATGTGGAGATCACGTGATCCCTGCCGCAGATGCTGCTCTGCGTGGGTTCGTTCTTTGGTGACTCGGAGTGCAGTAGAGAGCAGTGGCAGAGCTATGTGGAGGGAAAGGAGAAAGGTGTGTGTGTACGATCAGTTCTGTGGCAACCGAACTTATATTCCTTGATGATTATTTGTACCCTACATACCATGTTTTATGAACCTTATAATTCCAACCTTTGGACCTTTTGTTCCACAGTTTATGAAATTTCATGGTTTATTAACCTTATATCCACGGTTTATGATAGAGGTGTATGAACCTTAGAGTCCATGATGTATGTTTATACTGGAGAAGGTATGTAGGGTAGCTCTGTCTAGTATTCCATGATTTAGGGACCTTATAACAATTGATGATCTATTAGTTAGTTAACCTCTCCCCTCTCCTCCCCCTCCCCATCCTTCCCCTGCAGTGCCGCTGCCTACCTATATCTTGGGGCCAGGGTCGCCAGGTGAGGCGGTCTCCTACCAGAGTCTGGGTAGAGATGGAGGGGAGCTGTGTCCGAACCTAACTTGTCTCGGTGAGGAACCGTGTATGGGTTAATATGACCCTAGATAAACTCTCCCCCTTGGAAAATAAGTTACCTTTTTATGCACTCAAACAGAGGGTTTCCCCCCATTTGTCTGGGTAAGGAAAAACATGTGTGCAGTCCCCCCTGATTCATTTAGGGGGCTCTCCCCCCTTGATTAACTTTCACCTTCAATTAGAGGGGTTTACCCCTCCTCTTTTTCATTAACACACATAGCCCCCCCCCTTGGATCAATTTCTAAATGAAGGCCGGGCGGTAACTGCAGTTTGTTTTTTGCCTTTCCCTTGCTGTGACCTCAATGGCACACAGACTAACACTTTTCACAGAAAAAACCTTGGAACGAAGGTGTATATACCTAATTCTTTCAAACATGTATGTTTTCATTGACTTTCTGGCTACACTGTCAAGCTCCAGCTACTATATACAGATAGTCCAGACACAGCTAGTACACGGTTACTACAATTTTTTCCGCCAATCACTCATTGGATTTCATGGACTTGACCCATTTGAATTCTTACCCTTTTATAAGGTCTGGAACATTGAAAAGTGCCCTTGAAAGTAGTTTATGATACAGTTTTCATGTCATTTTTCATCGGTGGCAGAACTTGTAGTACAAAATCCTTGTTTTAGAAGTTTTAACTTTCATTGGAGGAGAAACTAGTGATAAAGTTTGGAATGATAGCTGGCTGATGTAAGTGTGGTCCCACAGGTCAGAGAGGGGTGTTCAAGACGTCAGGAGGACTCCAGGTTGTGTACCTCAGTGGAAGACACCATGAAGACAGATTTAGCCAAGATCTTTCATCACAGAAGACTATGGTAACATCTCGTACCGTACCATATAGTAGCCCATACATCCATGATGAGTACCATGCCCATTATACTAGTAAGTACTATCGTCCCTTAGTGATAATGCCTATGCGAAACACGACATTCGGTATTTAACAATTTGCTTTGTAAATGTACACACCTGTGTGACATATACACGGGAGTATTATTTTGGGCCATGTAACCATACGAAATGTACACCAATGAACATCCTCTGTAAAACTACGCACTAACAGTTTCTCCCACAATTTATCACGCCATTCCTTGCGCCGAGGCTCTTCCAGTGGCAAGAGAAAGAGAAAGGCTGGGGTTTGCCAAAATGTGAAACTCCCCCTCCCAGCAGGTCCTCGACTTCTCCATAAGGCCCGAGGGGAAGAGTGTATACTTGTAATGATGTGAATGTACAAATTGCTGGGATTTTCAGAAAGTTGGGGGAATGTGTATATATGTACATGCACACCAAAACAGTGAGTGCCAGGTTCTTTTCTCCTTCCCTAGAAGAGCCCACATATATAATACGAGGCTGTAATACGTTGTATTATTGCTTTATTCTGAATTTCTCAATGTCGCAGTCACCGTACATGACGAGTAGTGATGTTGAAAGTCTGAAGGAAATGGCAGCAAAGTCAAAGGAAGAATTTCGCGGAGTCGACATTCTCCTCACCACCGAGTGGCCGAGGGGCGTGGCCACCCACACTGCCACGCCCCCCGACTGGTTGGACGCTGACAACGCGGGGAGTGTGGAGGTGGCACAACTGGCAGTGGCTGTCAGACCTCGCTACCACATTGTGGCTGGACTGAAACACTTCTATGAGAGAACTCCTTACAGGTACAGTAGTACACAACCCTCCCTGCTGAACCCATTACATATGTCCCCACTGACTCACCCACTGCATATGATTTGTTATCCCCACTGACTCACCCACTGCATATGATTTGTTATCCCCACTGACTCACCCACTGCATACGATTTGTTATCCCCACTGACTCACCCACTGCATACGATTTGTTATCCCCACTGACTCACCCACTGCATACGATTGTGTTCCCCACGGACTCACCCACTGCATACGATTTGTTATCCCCACTGACTCACCCACTGCATACGATTTGTTATCCCCACTGACTCACCCACTGCATTACTGTTATCCCCACTGACTCACCCACTGCATATGATTTGTTATCCCCACTGACTCACCCACTGCATACGATTTGTTATCCCCACTGACTCACCCACTGCATACGAATTGTTATCCCACTGACTCACCCACTGCATACGATTTGTTATCCCCACTGACTCACCCACTGCATACGATTTGTTATCCCCACTGACTCACCCACTGCATACGATTTGTTATCCCCACTGACTCACCCACTGCATACGATTTGTTATCCCCACTGACTCATTATGACCTTCTGAATGTGGGGAATACTCGTCTGTTTAAGAGTTTGCATCTCTCTCTCTATTGTATGGTATGATTGTTCAGGAATCACCAAGTACTGCGAGGGCAGCAACTGCATGTCACCAGATTCATTGCTCTGGCAAATGTCGGAAATCCAGACAAAAAGAACAGGGTACAGTGCCATAGCAACATGAATATTTGTTCGCCCTCTCCTTTCTCTCCTCTCCTTACGCCCTTTCCTCTCCTCTCCCTCTCCCTCTGTCACCTACTCCTCGCCCTCTCTCTCCCTCTCCTCTCTCCACCTCTCCTCCCCTTCCTCTCCCCCGCTCTTCACTAGTATCTGTATGCCTTCAACATCACACCGCTCACTGAGATGGATACACAAGAACTGGTACAACAACCTCCAGCCATTACCAACTGCCCATATCACCATCTTCTGGGGACCAAGGTGTATAATTGTGCTACGTAGGTTGAAGCATGAAAATGTGCACATCTCACTGAACCGCATAAGAACACACCCAAGCCTTTTTGTGCATGCCCCCAATAATGATATAACACGCCCTGCCTTGTACACTCCATGGTAGTCCATCGTTGTAACTCCGACAAGGGATCTGTCTACTCGGAGGTCCCACTCGATAGATGTACACAACAGTGCTGTAGAGAGCGTCGTCCCTATTTCGGAGGTCAAATGATACACTAAGTGTTAGCATGGGGGTTAAAACAAGTCTTTGTAGAGATCGTCCCGATCTCACAAATAATACACTAAGTATTAGCATGGGGTTAAACAAGTGTCCTTGTAGAGAGGTCGTCCTATTTGGAGGTCAAATAATACACTAAAGTATTAGCATGGGGTTAAACAAGTGTCCTTTGTAGAGAGGTCGTCCCTGTCTCAGAGGTCAAATAATACACTGAAGTAATTAGCATGGGGTTAAAACAAGTCCCTTGTAGAGAGGTCGTCCCTATCCGGAGTGTCTCAGGACCACTGTATTGTACATACTGTAGAAGGGACGAGATGTGGAAGATGGAGGGGACAGCAGGTTTCTTCTTGATCAGAAGAGTCTGGACGTTGCTAGAGAGGAACACGCAAGACACACAGCAGAGGTGTCGCGCGAGGTAAGAGGAACAGAGGAGGTCAGAGGTCACTGAACCACTCGGCATGTTTCAATCCATGTCGCTTCACTTCTGCTACTTTTCCACTCTTTGGTCACCACAAGTCGCCATTCCCCACCCTTAGCATAAAAAGGTGCCGAGCATTGCCACATACCCTCTATGGGGGTCCTCTGCGACTTGCCTCTCCTCCGTCATTTCTGCTTTTATATGGTTTTCCACTCTTTGTGTGTTTGTCATGTTCATTTGAACATGTTCGATCATCCGTCCTCTCATTTATCAGTCTCGTTTTCTGACACTCTCTCTTTCTCCCTCTCTAGCGCGCGCAAAATAAAGGCAGCTGCGTCCCATAGCGTGTAATGACCTGCAAAGACTTCGCTAAAGCGCGCTGAGCGCGCGCGCATCGCACCCAGGCACGCGCTCGCGCGCGCTCGCTGCGTCCTTCAAAGAAAATGCGCTAGCTCCTGCCCGTGAAACGCGCGACTCGTCCCTAGCTCCAGACTCTCCTCCTTCCCTCCTCCCTCTCTCCCTCATCTCTCTCTCCCCTCTCCTCCTCCGCCGTCTCTCAGACAGAGGAGTACAAGATAAAACAGTCGGCCTCTCTCCACTCCTCCCTCTTCTCATTCCCCTCACACCTCACACACTCCCACGGCTCCCCGAGGTCCTGCTGGTTCTGCCTCGCGGCCCTCAGGTGGAGAGAAAAACATCTCTGTCATCACTGTTGGAGATACATGTGAGACCATCTCCATCACCTCAGTTGATATACAGTGGAAGTGATGGATGATGAACTGACTTGGGGAGGATTAGAATTTCACGGAGAAACTTTCCCCAACCTAACATACTTTTTACCATTCGTCAAGTGTGTCTTAGAACGTCGTGGGTTCAAACCCACCCAGACGGCAGCTCTTCTTCTGTCTCTTGAAAAGAAAGAGTTGTCCGGGTGTAGTTGACTTGTTTGCCTTGCCTTGCCTACTGTCATACCTCGTACCAAGTGTTGTGTGAGACATGTAAAGGTATCTGGTGGACTGTATAACAATCATTCTCTCTCTCATCTCGAGCGATGCGCAGTACACATGAGGTGGTAATGCCACGACAAATGAGGGTGTGGTGTGGCATGAGCATGAGAGGAGGACAGTGCGCGTACATAAGTCATGTATATAGTACAGCGACACAGTCAGTAGTATGATAGGCTACATCTACTAAAACAATTCGCCTCAGTAGTTATCCCTTGACGCATCAACAGTGCAGTATCTAATATGCTGTAAAGTGATCAAGTGTAAAGAGGTGCATTGTTTTTTTTTCTTCTTTTCTTTTTTTTTTTTTTTTTTTTTTTTTTTTTTTTTTTTTTCTCGCTTTATGCATTCTGCAGTGTATTATTCGCTGTATGTGTTTATGTATGTATGGTAGAACCTGTCTCTAATGACATCATTGAATGTGGATAAGGACACTATTAGGCCTAATCTGTGACGTTTTTTGCCTTGAAACCTTACTGACTAACTTGGGAAACTGACAGAACATCGTAACCCTCTCTCTCCTCTCCCCTTGTGTTCAAACCTTTGAATAGGTCGTCCAAACCCTTGAAGTAAGTAGTCGTCCACGTTGGTGTCCTGATCTGATTTAGAGGGTTCTCTTCCACTCACTGTATTGTTCACTCCCACTGTATGTGTTTGGCAGTCATACTGGCTCTGCCAAGGGAGGGTTGGTTCAGAACACGGCCTCATTCTACCAATAGGTCATCATGGAGCCTTCCACCTCTACCCCTCAGGGTGTGTGTCCATATACTAGAGGCTACATTATACAGAGATGGACAAACCCATATTGACTGCTGAAGCAAAAAGATTACAATTGCTAAACAAACGCCCACGTCCATTTTTGTGCATCTCTGATCTGCCTTCGTGCGATATGTTTTCTACTCGAAAGAGGTTCTGATGCTGCATCCAGGTGCGTGTGTGTGTGTGTGTGTGTGGAAACGGGTGTTTGCCCACGAAATATGTTTTTCTTACTTTGAAGGAAATTTCTGCTATACCGTATGCAGCTATACTTTTGAACGAAGCCTCTTACTCAGGGCACACTAGATTGGCAAGTGCAAGTAGTAGCCCACCTACGGGTATCATCCATACCCCACGACTGCCACAATAATGCTCCCTATAATAGAGGACTGGGCTTGTTGTTTGAGTGGATTGTTTGTGTGTGCGGACTGTTTCAGGAGGTGCTTGAGGAGATGAAGAGGTTCAGCGACTCCTCAAGAGACTACTACAACAGACAAGGACCAGATCGTGCATCAGCTCGAGAGGAACTTCAAATCACAGCATCTGCAGATTACAGGTACGTACTGGTTGCTGCTCTAATGCAGTTGGCTGTCTTGTCTGTCCAATTCTACACGTGTGTATGTAACTACACATTCTAAGACCCTAGACTCCACTCACAAGGAAGTGTTGGATATGTACACTAAACTACCACACGGGTATATATAGTCTGCGAGGACTTTAACACATGCGTCTGTGATACTATCTATGGCTGTTGTGTGAGTACCCAAGAGTCTAAGGAGAGAGAGAGATCGAGAGAGAGTGATACATACCTGCGTACAACCATGTGTACAAAGTAACGTGACACGCACGTGATGAAACTCTGTAAAACAACCCTTATCTACTAGCAATTTAAACGATGACGTTTACTAGTAGATACAAGTTGTTTTACAGAGTTTCATCACGTGCGTGTCACGTACTGGCACACAGTGTTCTGACGTATATGCAGTGCAAATATCCTCGATCTCTCTAATCACTCTGATACGTACCCTATCTCATCCTCCTACCCTAATCTACCCTAATCCACTCAACTATCCCTATGCCATGTTCAGGGGTGCCAGTACCAAAGACACCAGAGAAGAGCGCTCTAAGACAAGTCTTCATAGACCACGGCAAGTCACTAGGACATGGAATTCAACAGAGATGGACAGAGCCACTCCACTGACTGACGTGAGTGTAAAGACCGAGACACTATATACGCATGCGTACTCTGACTATTATATGCGATAAATAAAATCGTAGCATAGAGAGCCCAACCTACTCTATGTAAGTTTGCATGATGATGGATACCAGCACTAGTCACAAACCCTAACGTGGGGCACAGTCTAGCAACTAGCCAAGCCTAATGTCAGCTGCCATTGAATGTGCTGAGACTCGTAAGAAAGAGAAACAAGACCAGCTGGTTTATAGAAGCCAGGGGCGACGCAAGCGCTACTGAGAGGGTACCGGGGGTTACATGAGCTCCCTCTTAACAATCTGGTTTAGCGAGGGGTTTAGCCCCTGTACAACGAAATGCATACATGTAACTAGAACTTCCAACTATAGGGGTGATTTACACAGAAGTGTTGCAGATTACCCTAAAACGCACGATCAAAACAAGTGCCCCTTAAAAAGAGGTTCATTACATGTCTCAGATGGTTGACTGTTGGTGCTCCATATTTCGTGGCTCACTTTGACGAGGGACCACAGCTGTTTGTCCGTATCAGAGGAAGATTTCCACTCCAGTTGGAAGGTTGTGTTTCAGATGGTGTCTGAGTCAGTGTTCTTTCTTCCTCTCTTTTAGACTCTATCTTGTCATCCACTCCTTCCCATTCCCTATCTCACTTCTGTCATGGAATGATGCAACACCTCACAAGAGAGTCATTTAAACGGCAACTACTCATCCTTTATAGTGCACAAAATAATTTCACTGGTCCCTATTGCCATCTTTAGCGCCTGCGTGTCTATACCACGTCTGAACGCCTCATTACTTGCATGTGTGTGTGTGTGTCTACAATAGAGCAACTACAGTACCTTCAGCCTGTAGCTCTCCGTAGTGCGAGTCAAGAATCTAATGTCTAAACCACATTTCAGCACCTCTTCCTCCCAATGTGAGTGTCTATGTCCGACAATTTTCCACAGTGCAAAATGGCACATTAATATTGTGCATTTGGGCTGAATTATGCTATTCGAATTACACATTTTTCACAGGCCATTTTTTGTACATCAAGTTACCAAGTTCTGAACACCTCTTTCTCTCATGTGTTGTGGTGTGTGTACAATAGGGAGGTGCTGTGTTCACCACTGCTACTGGCAGCCCCGCAGAGAGTGACTGAGAGAGTGCAATCTCTCAGCAAGAAGCCGCGAAGACAGCAGAGATGCGCACGCCAGATGAGACCAACGTTGAACTTTCTGATTACAGAGGCAGGGAGTAACGCCACAGGGCGCATACACGCAGTCACATTACTACTGCCTACACAGAACAAATCAAACACCGTATAGGCTTAGCGCGCTCGTGAGTCACAAGCAGGACCAGTGCACCATACAAAATATCATACATGTCAGCTTTGCCACCAAAACACGACACTACCTTACTATACATCACCGTTTAGTGGTCCAACTACATCAGCTATCACTAAGTACGGTAGTACTTAGTGTATAGGGATTGACATGCGCTACCTAGCATCATAGATGTATGCTATGATAGCGGAGTTTGTTCATTCATTCTCATCTTCTTCTTCTTTTCCTTCTCTCCAACCAGC